ATATAGATATATAATCTATATCTATCTATCTATCTATCTATCTATCTATCTATCTATCTATCTATCTATCTATCTATCTATCTATCTATCTATATGGCTCTGTGTATGTGTGTGTGTTTGTGCGCGCGCGCGCCATGCTGGCACATCTGGGAAAACCCGAATCTGAAAGCTTGCCAGTATTCCCCATCCAGTTGAAAATTCAAGATCCTGCCCCCACACCCACAAGTCCACCACATGGTCCAATCTCCCACTGCCATGCTGACAGTTCCACCCATCCAGTTCTAGTCAGGTGCAGAGTTGCAAAGTCAAAGGATGACCTTGGCTTTCTCGAAAGAATATTGTTATGGCTACGACGCATCTCACTCCGTACAATCCCCCCTCCCATTTTCCCACAATAGAAAATGCGTAGTAGAATAATAGAAAGTGTGGCAGGCCAAAGATCCAAGAGGAATATGGCTGCAGGCTTGACAACGAGCCAGGTGTCTGATTACATTTCTAACATTTAGCAGAATTGTCCTTCAACGTCTTTGCCAATCTTGTGGGTGAAAAATGTCGTCTATAAAACATTTTATAAATGGCCTGCGTTGTGCCTTCCTTTGCAGCCAGTAGCTGCCGGATCTGGGATTCCAGAGATCAAGTGTTACTTGAATGGAGTCAAGGTCCCCGGGATCGTGCGCCTTCGGACTCTGATCTGCAAAGCCCTGGGGGTCCTTTTCAGCGTGGCTGGAGGTAACCCCAAAACTGTCACTTATTCTCAGTCTTTGGTCTTTCTGGCGTTGGGAAGGGAGCTGGCTTTTCCCATAACCGGCCGTATCTTTTCTCCCAGGTCTTTTTGTAGGGAAGGAAGGCCCCATGATCCACAGCGGCGCTATCGTTGGGGCTGGCCTACCTCAGGTGAGTGTGAGTGCAAGGCTTGTCCAGTGTTGGGGTTCAGCCAGTTCGCACCACTTTGGGAGAACCGGTATTGTTAACTTTCTGAGCAGTTTGGTGAATCATTAGGGCAGAGAACCGGCTGTTAAATTATTTGAACCCCACCATTGGGCTTGTCCCAGTGCGACAGAAACCCTTTTTTTGAAAATACTGTATTTTTCGGACTATAAAATGCACCGGAGTATAAGACACACCAAAATTTTGAAGAGGTACATTTAAAAAAAAGGTTTTTGCACTCTGCAGGCCTCCCAAACCCTCTACACATCCCATGCAGAGAGTTTGAGAGGCCTGCAAAGTTCCCCTGGGCAATGTTCCCTCTAATTTTTTTTCAGTGTGAGCGGAAAAGTATAGTGTTTGAGCGGCACATTTTCTGACAGGAAAATCCCAGTTCTGCCACTTGCATGTTTCAGAATTTGGCCAACCTAGAACGGGCGCTGATCCCTGACCCCAGATGTGTGAGCTTTGTGTCTGCTTTTGCAGTTGTAAGATTAAGAAGAGTTCATCGCCTTTTCAGGTTTTTCTTTCCAAAAAGAAAAAAAAATGGACACTTTAGCTAATTACAGGTAGTCCTCCACTTATGGTGACAATTGTGGCCAAAAGTTCTGCTGCTAAGTGAGACCTTGGTTAAACGAGTTTTGCCCCGTTTTACAACCTTTCTTGCCCCAGTTGTTAAGTGTATCTCTGCAGCTGTTAAGATTAGTCACACGGTTGCTAAGTGAATCTGGCCCCCCCCCCCCCCCCCCTTGACTTTGCCTGTCAGAAGGTCACCAAAGCGGATCCCCGGGATGTTGGGATGGTCATCAATAGAAGTCAGTTGCCGAGCCTCTCAGTTTTGATCACATGACCACGGGGATGCGGCAACAGTTGTAAGTGTGAAAAACGGTCTTAAGTCTCCTTTTTCACTGCCACTTTCACTTTGAACGGTCACTAAATGAACTGTTGTAAGATGAGGACTACCTGTGTAGTATCACTCCCTATGAATTTTGTCTGGGTTTATATATATATATATAAATAAATCTTGGCAAGGCAGCAATTATCCTTCATCATTCACTTAACTTTTTCTTTCTCTCTTTTTTATTTATTTTTTTATTCTCTTACATAGCATTTTAAGTATACATTCACACAGTTGTTATTCTTCTATACATTTAACATTCTTATACATTTGTTATTTCATTTAGTAGGTCATAATATACCTTTTGGGTTGCTTTATTTACCATCCCTTCTTCCTGTTGTAACACCACCTCATTTTCCCTTTCTTTTCTCCCTCCCT